TTTTGAAGAAATTTAAATTAATATTTCGCATTAATGTACTATATTTTCTTCAATAATTTCTCTAGTAAGCGTAGGAGATATATAATGAATCTAAGAAATAGCATTTAATTATTATTAATAGAATAAATTTATGTGTAAATAATTTAAATTATTTATAATATTTTTTTACAATTTTACTAACTTACAATAATGTTTTCTTTTTTATTTTTGGCTCCTTTAAAACATATCATCTAAATGTCTTTAAGTTTTTATATATTCCTGTTAACCTATATGAAATTTACGCATATATATATGTTATACGGACCATATTTTTTTTAAATTTACTTTATACGTTCTTATCAGGCATGTATATATTTGTAGAACACTAGACTATATTTTATATGATTAACTTCTTTTATTTCTTCTTTTTTTTTTTTCTGCTTATATCTAATTGATTGGGAAAAATTATTAAATATCAATATAATACTTGCATTCGTTTTGATATATGTGATTTCGTCAAAAAAAATGTGTAAAACAAACAATGTTATCAATTTTATTTTAGAAAACTAATTTATGACATATATTTATAAGCAAATAATTGGTATTCGAATATAATAATATAATTTTTTTTTAACAACTAATTTTTTGCCGTGAGGAAAATAGTATTATTTGAAAATACACTGATGGAGTCATAATACAAATTATTATATATGACTATGATTACAATAAATAAAGTATTGATCCATATTTTTTTTATTTAATCGATTTTTTTATAATAAATATGTGTACTGTTCCCCTTTAGCAACAATTCAAAATTAAAATTCCACATATAATTGTAAATTACTAGATATTATATATTTTCTTTTTAATATTACTAATATAAATAAATTGTTTTTCTACAAAAATGCATATTTTTTCTTGAATTTAATAAAATAATATAAAATGAACCCATTAGCTAAAAATTTGTATTTATTGGTTATAGATAGCTTATATATAGGTTATTTTATACCTGTCATCAATTAAATATTTATATTCACTTTAAAATAAATACAGAAATTCGAGATGATTCTAATTTTTTTATTCAATATTCTTTTTAATTCTCTTACCAATGATTGTCAGAATGAGAAATAAGAGTTATACTAACAACAATAAAATAAAATTACATTTTTGCTTATGATAATTTTTATTATATAAGAATTTTTGCATTTTTTTAAGGTAAATTATAATACAACATAAATTTATTATATTAAATTTATTTATCATCTTATACAAAATGAATACAATTACTAATATTTCAAGAGATAAAAAACCTATTCCTGTACCAGTACATGCTTCAAAATTATTATGTGTTTCTGTATATGGAATAGTATTTGTATGTGCATCTATGATTAGATCTTTTTCTTTCGTTTATCATACGACATTCAATATTCCATTGATGTATCCATCATGAGTGAAGTATTATAATATAGTATTTATTGCATTTATTATTTACAAATATTTTTTATAATCATCATTATATTCTTCCAATAATAATCTAAAATTCTCATTATTTTTAAATGCATATCCTTCTAGGAATTACATACGCTTTATAAATTCTTCAGTATAGGAATAGTTTGGTGAACGAAAATTATAGAATTTCTTTAAATCTATTATTTAGTTAATAAAGATCATCAAATATTTGTAATGTACCTTCATCAATACAATTGAAATTATCCAGACATATGTTAGATACCATTATGTCATCTTTTACGTTATATTCTGTAATTTTCTGATAACATTCCTTAATTCCATTGCATTTTAATCTATATATTTTTAATAAAATTCTATTTAATTTGTAAAAAATGTATATACAACACTTTTGAATAACTTATCTTATCTTTTTGCATATGATCTGAATATATTAAAAGAACTAGATATAATTGCGAAAATTCTGTAGATCTAGTATGATCTCCTAATTCATTGTAAATATTTCTGAAGAACTGAGTAAAATTATGAGAAATAGGATTTGAATCATGATGATAGTACAACTAACTGAAACCATTTATATATTGGGTAAGTATACAAGAAAAATCGAACTAAATGTAAAAGAAAAAATATGTGCAAAAATTAAAATTATTATTTTTAAGAAAAAAATTTGCAATTGTTCTTCAATAAATTAGATATCTGAAAATAAATTTTCAAATAATATTTATAATTCAAGTTTTAATCATACTTCTTCACTATGTAATTTAGTTTCACTCATTGTATTTTATATATACGTATTAATAAATAAAGATTTTTTTTTATTATAATGTATACATTTTATTGTAAAAAATATCAGCATGAATAATTTATTTTTATCATATATATTAATTAATGAAAATTTTTATTTTTATATTATATTCACACATTTGTTAAATTATTCATATGATTCAAACAATGAGAGTATAATAAGTTCAGTGTAAGAAGAATATTATTAATAAAAAATAATAAAATTCTAAAATAATTAAATATGTTATATAAATATAACAATTTCAATTTATAAAGAATATATATGTAATAATATTTCATCTATCTAACGCTGGTTTATTAATATAATTATATAGTAAATAAAATTGACCTTGTAATATACAGAATAATTTTATTATATCTATTTATTTGTATGTAATTAATTATATTAAATATATTTTTTATACTGTTCCGAATATACATTAATTTAAAGAACATGTTTTGGGTTTAAGGATTTATTGTTCATGGTTATGTATATAATTTTTCTTTATTATACTTTGAATTTTATGCTAAATGTTTTAATGCTATCAATTTTTTGATAATTATAAGTATATTCATTACATTTTTATGGTAAATTCAAAAAACGGAAGAAAATAATATGTTTGAATTTATATAAATTATATTTAAATAATGTAAATACTATAATTTAATAATTTCTCGTTAAATATAAAATAATGTCTGTATATAGTATATTGTAAATAATTAATTTAAGCATATATATTTGTACTTATAAGAATATTATTCATAGTACATTTTATATCCTTATTACATGTATAATGAGTATATATAAAAAAATAAATTAAAATGTATAATTTTATAAAATATATTATTCCCAAATATGTTTTATAATTTTAATGATTGTTATGTTTTTCATTATTTAATATAATTATATAATAATATGGTTAACTGATAATCACGAATTTATAGTGATTTAATGATGTATTTATATTTATTTTTTATTTAAAAGCCATTATTCAATGTATAATTAATTTTTAATTGAGTTATATTTTATATTTTTTTTCTTATCTTATTTTAATAAATTTATATTATTCTTGCTGAATACTCGAAATAAATAATTTTTACTGTGAAATGTAATGGCTCATTTGACATGTATTTAGATGTACAATTAAAAAATAATATAAGTGTAAATGTTTTTATAGCTTTGTTTGAAATATAATTCACTGAATATTAATTTCATAATGAATATTTCTTATGTTGAATAAAATGTGCATTAAAAAATAAAAATGACTTGTATCATTTGTTTACCTATTGAATATTTCACAAAATATGGAATATTAATTTTGATGTATATATACTAAATTTTTATATGAATAATGTGCTTGAAATAATAATTTGT